AATGCAAAATCTATGATGTTTATATTCAAAATGATCATCAAATTGTAAGAATTACAGCAATGTATATTATATTCTGGCCCGGTAATTTGTATGAATTTTATGAGCTAAAACAAATATCTTCAATAAATAAACAAAATATACTTATCGAAATACTATCTGTCAATCAAAATACCCCACCTCCCCCCCTCTTCCCACCTGCTCCCTGGGTCCCTCCCTCCCTCCCTACCCCTCACCCCATCTTCCGTCCCTACTAGAGAAATGATTGGGTTATAACAGTATATTTACATTTTTAGTAATAAATAATACCTCAGACTAAAGTTAGGATAATATAATTGACATTGCTGGATTCCTTGCAAGACCAGGAATATTTTGAATACACACGTCATATATTTTGCACAAAAGATAACATATTTGCTCTGAGTAAACAAAATACTTGCATTAGATCTAAAATTTGTATGTCTAATGCAAAATCTATGATGCTTATTCAGCGATCATCAAAAAAAAAAAAAAATATATATGTAGATATAGATATATATATATATATATATATATATATATATATACAGATATAGTATATAGTATATAGATATAGACAGATATAGATATACAGTATTACCCTGCTTAACGCGCTTTCACTTAACGCGTTTTCGCATATACGCGGTGCCTTGCCAAAGCTGAACTTTCACTTAACGCGGCATTTTTCATCATATACACGGTGAGTGTCCCGGGTGAGTGTCCGGCTCGAGAGCTATTTTTAGATTCGCACCACCCCCCACCCGCCACCCTGCCTGACTGCCTGTTTTAGCTCATAAAATTCATACAAATTACCCAGCCAGAATATAATTTACATTTCTGGAATTCTTATAATTTGGTGATCATTTTGAATATAAACAACATATATTTTGCATTAAACATACAATTTTTAGATAAAAATTGTTCTCTAGGTAATTATGTTATCTTTTGTCCAAAATATATGACATTTATATTCAAAATATTCCTGGTCTTACAAGGAATCCAGCAATGTCAATTATATTATCCTAACTTTAGTTTGAGGTATTATTTATTAAAATTTAGTGGTTATCCCACACATCTCCTTGGGACGGTTGGTGGGGGGTGGGGGGTGGGGGGGAGGGAGGGACCGACCGACCGACCATCTGTTACCCAGTGAAGAATTATTTTTTTTTTTAACTATAGATATTTGTTTTAGCTCATAAAATTCATACAAATTACCCGGTCAGAATATAATTTACATTGCTGGAATTCTTATAATTTGGTGATCATTTTGAATATAAACAACAGAAGAGCTTGTATTAAACATGCTGCTCTTTTGATAAAATTGTTCTATGTCATGTTATTCGGTCCAAAAAGAGGACATTTATTCAAAATATTCCTGGTCTTACAAGCAACCAGCAAATGTCAATTATATTATCCTAACTTTAATCTGAGGTATTATTTAATACTAAATGTTAAAAACTCTTGAATGGAGGATTTGTGGGGGGAGGGTTGGGACTGACCACGCGGTTGGAAGAGGGGGGGGAAGGCAAGGTGGGGTACTTTGATTGACAGATAGTGTCGAAGAATATTTTTTTTTTTTTATTAACTGAAGATATTTGTTTTAGCTCATAAAATTCATACAAATTATCTGGCCAGAATATAATTTACATTGCTGGAATTCTTACAATTTGCTGATCATTTTGAATATAAACATCATAGATTTTGCATTAGACATACAAATTTTAGATGTAAAGTTTATTCTGAGTAAATATGTTATCTTTTGTGAAAAATATATGACATTTATATTCAAAATATTCCTGGTCTTACAAGGAATCCAGCAATGTCAATTATATTATCCTAACTTTAGTTTGAGGAATTATTTATTACTATACCTGGTTTTCCCCCAAAAATTTCTCAGAGGGAAGAGCCAGTGAGTGTAGTGTGAGAAGAGGGGGAGGGAGTTGAGTCCATTATTTGAATGGACATTAACTTGGCACTGTATTTCTCTATTTCTCTTAAGTATTAATTGTGTGCATGTACCATCATAAAATTAAGATGTTATTTTTACTACAACATAGTTATTTGTCGTCAAAAAGTGGAGTTTGGGGGTCGGGCTGGGTTCTATTGGAATTAATCCCATATGTTCTGTTATTCACTAACGTTGCTTTCACTTGCACTGGCCCCTCTGGGTTCACTGATCATGTTATATATATATATATATATATATATATATATATATATATATATATATATATATATATATATATATATATATATATATATATATATATATATATATATATATATATACACAGTGGTCCCTCGGTTAACAAACTCAATTCGTTCCAGAGGGTCGTTCGTTAAACGGAAATTTCGTTAACCAAAACCATTGTTTCAATGGGATATTGGGTAATTGGTTCCAGCTCACAGAAAAGTATATACAAAGTAAAGCCAAAAATGCATAAAGTCAGAAACACTCCTAAAATTCCCCTAAATCGCCCTTAAATCACTATATATATCGTACATATACACTAGAACTCTTAAATCACTACTGTAATGTGATACAGGTGAATAATTTTTATCTCTTGTGCAAATTATATGACATTTGTATTCAAATTATTGGCTGTCTTGCAAGGATTCCAGCAATGCAAATTATATTCTCCTAACTTTAGTCTGAGATATTATATAAGATAAAAACTGTACGCCTAAAACCCTGGCTGGGCAGATGGGGGAGAGGGAGGGAGGGAGCCTGGGGGGAGGGGGGGGGCAGAGCGAGAGATGAGGAGATATGTTTTGACAGTTGGCGCTGAAGGTCTGTGTGTTTATTTATCAGTCCTTAAGAGTGACTAAGCTTTTCTCTTATAATTTGCCAACCAAACAACCTGTGAGAATATACTTTACATTGCTGGGATTCTTGTAAGATAGTGATTAATTTGAATATAAACAAGCTATATTTGCAATAGACATAACAATTTTAGTACCGTAATCTATTAGTACATGTACAGTACAGGTTTGCACTCGTCATTTATTTCTTTTGCGTTTCTTTTAGTATGGTGTGTGCATGTAAATGGATGAAAATAAATGAAGTGGTCCCTTGTTAACCAAGGGACCACTGTATTGCAGTGTACTTGTACTGTACAATACTTTTTACTACAACGTACATATTGTGTCGGAAAAAGCGTAGTCTGGGGGTCGGCCCAGTCACTATTTCAATTAATCCCATATGTTCTGTTATTTCGTTTACGCGCTTCTCGTTTTACGCGGACCTCCATGGGTTTAATTGACCGCGTAAACCGAGACTATACTGTAGTCCAGTATGTGACGTCGACGACCCACCCATCTCCACCCCTCGAGATTTGACATTTGTTTACTGCTCGCTCTAAGGCAAGAGATGATGGTGGTAGTGCGTGTGATGGAGGGTGCGGGAGGGGTTTTGAGAATTGCAATTAAATGCCAGGTAGCGACGTGTCCTCCTAATATTATGTATTAAGTAATTATTAGATGTTTTAATTGCCTGTATGTTGGCCTGACGAGTTATTGCTAGGCATTTACATACCTAGGTATAAAGCTAGATGTCGCATTCTGGACTATATATCACAAAAACTGGTTTTTACAAAAAAAAATGGCTTTTTTACTTGATTAAATTTTCAGTTGTGATGGACAAAACTGCTTATTGAGTTAGGTAGAGCTTAAGGATATACTAGGGTTCCAACATATGGACTTAAGGTTGTAATATGTGAGTCACTTAAGGAGGGTGTTTGGCCATATATGCACTGTAGCCAGCAGAGACAAAGGTGTGTACTACAGGGGCAGATCCAAGGGGGGGGTCCTGGGGGTCCGGAGTCCCCTTCTCATCAGAAAAATCCAAAACCTTTTCTTTAATGCAGTATTGTACTGAAGCATTTTTGTATAGTAAAAAGAAATTACTATTGATCTCAAAATATCTCCTAATATTAAGTGCACAAGGCCTCAAAATGACCAAGAAATTGGTGAGTTAACTGTGCTCGCCATGTTCCCCCACCCACAACTTCTTGGACCTCACCCCTTTTGATATTCCTAGAACAACCACTGTACTGTACTTAATAATAGCAAGTATTTTACCAAAGTAATATCTATTTGATTGACAAGACAATAATAAGTTGTAAAGTACCTGTAGAGCAAACTGATCAGCCCGTTCCTCTCGCTCCACAATCCTCAGTGCTGTGACAATCTGTGTGGGTTCTTTCCGTACTGTGTTGAGTGTGCGCTGAAGAATGATCCAAACTTGTTTGCCTTTAGAAAATAAAAGTAAAACTCTTATATTATGATAAACATGAACATAATTTATCTATGACTGTTGTCTATGGTATTAGACTAAAGGTCTATGATATCATCATTAACCACTGTATGGGATCCCTTCTGTGCTGAATAAAATCGTCTGGCGTTAGATAAATAAAATATTAAAAGTGGCATCCCCATACTGAAGTGGTTAATTGGGATTGAGAACATGTTGGACAGACAAAGCTGGCACATTATTTAGAAAGATATTAAATTCTTATATAAAATAAGCATTTTTCATTGTTTGGTATTAATACACAAAAAAGAAATAAGAGACGGAACTTGAAGTTCCATTTTCTAATCAAGCCTGGATTGTGCAACTTATGTATAATACAGTGAGCAAAGTCTACAGGTTGAAGATTCAGGCTTTCCTGGGTTACAAAAGGACTAATTAACCTTCTCATCATATATACCCTGTGCCTTAGATCAGAGACCTTGAACACGAGAGTTACCACTCATAGCTGAAGGAAGGAGAGTCTCACAGTCACACTAGTCTGTGAGGGAGGAAATTTAACTAAATTGAAATGAAAATGATTTTTCAGGGCCTTCCCCTGCATTTTCAGGGTTAATATCTCTCGTCCAACAGCATAGTGGAAGTAAGAACAGTACAAAACATGCACACATCATTGATCATTCTCTATGAATTTTTCTTTCTACTTTCCTCTAATGATTTCCCTGAAGAGCAGTTGCTCCTCTGCTTCAGTGAGATAGACATCCTAGTCCAAGGGTTCTAAACTCTTCAAAATACTGTATTATACTGTGTTACCAAGTGCCTTAATTTGACAATGAAAGAAACTTACCTAAATCATCTGAAAGTTTTTGTACATCAGCAAAATATTCTTTCAGCATCCTTGTATCATTAGGGTTTTGGTGAGGCAACTTGTGCAGCTCAAACAAGAGGTCATCTCTGCTATTCTCTAAGTCCATCAGACACTGAAAAATTTGGCATGTACTGTATTAAGAAACTACTACCTTTAGTGTACCAATATTTACAAGTCAGTGGATTTTTGCCATAACCGGCTAAGTTCCTTACTAATGTTGTTTTACCATGAGTGCACTCTGATTGGCTAATCAAATGAAAACAACAATGCACAGAACCAATTAGAACCATACCTAACTTAACCTCACCTCACCTAACTTAACCTCACCTCACCTAACTTAACCTCACCTCACCTAACTTCATAACCTGTGCATTGTCGCTTCTATTTTCCTACTGTCATCCCAACAACATCTCTTGAAAAAATTAACGCAGTGGATAATTTGCCGTTTTGTTTACCGGTAATGGACGATTAGCTATCAGAGCACACTCACAGTAAAATAGTCTTAGTAGGAACTTAGCTGGTCATGGCAAAATGTCCACGGCAAATTTATAAAATTCAGTGGAGTTTATTTACAAATACTACAGTACAGGTACTGGCTTATTACTCCTGTACTAAACCTTTTGAGGCAAAAAAACACTAACCTGGTGAGCATAGAGCAGCCTTCCTTCTGAGATCCATTTGTGTGTCTTCTCAACAGACTCTGGTACAGTAAAAATATGTTTCAGGTTCTCCATGGCAGCAGCATATTGAGAGTGTCGGACGTATTCTTCGCGACACTCATACAGTCGTTCACTCAACTCCGGCACCCTTACCAGACTCAGCTCCATGTCTGATAAACTAAAGGTAATTGTTTAGAGGGAATAAACTATAAAATACAACTTGTATTTCATGTCATACATTCTACCCTTACAAGTCCTGAAGATACAATACACACCTGTATATTATCACCTCTGAGGAATCATCATCATCAACATTTTATGGCCATTTTCCACACTATCTGGGGGGGTTAGCCATGATTACCTGAAGGTATGGTGATTGGTGTCCCAGGTGTTATTAGACAAATCTAAAGCAAGTTTCAATGCTGGATGTCCTTCCTTTCACCAACCCCTCTTTTACAGTGGGAACTGGCCATTGTGTGTAGGATCTCCAAACACACTCTTAAGTGGCAAGGCAAGGTCACTACTCTCTGAAGTGATCAAAGATTACCTCCCTACCTGAAGGACTACGACCATAGTACAGGTACAATATTTAGATCTGAGAGATACTAAAATGTTGAACAGTATTGTACCAATCATTCCTACCTTAATGTGGTTTACTGTCTTTTTTCTAATAACAGAGGAGATATTTCTTGACAAGTTGGACAACAAAATATCCTCATATCTGCACAATACAGAGTCATATATCTCCTTAATAAATATTCATACATTTAACTGATATAGATTCATATACAGTGGTCCCTCGGTTAAAGAACTCAATTCGTTCCAGAGGGTGTTCGTTAACCGAAAATTTAGTTAACCGAAACCATTGTTTCAATGGGATATTGGGTAATTGGTTCCAGCTCACATTAAAGTATATACAAAGTTAAGTAAAAAATGCATAAAGTCAGAAACACTCCTAAAACTCCCCTAAATCGCCCTTAATATATATATATATATATATATATATATATATATATATATATATATATATATATATATATATATAGATAGATAGATAGATAGATAGATAGATAGATAGATAGATATATACTATATAGATAGATATATATATATACTATATAGATAGATAGATATATACTATATAGATAGATATATATATATACTATATAGATAGATATATATATACTATATAGATAGATATATATATATACTATATAGATAGATATATATATACTATATAGATAGATAGATATATATATATACTATATAGATAGATATATATATATATATATATATATATATATATATATATATATATATTAGTAAGTATGCTATAACAAAATCTAATTATTGGTTCTAGAACCTTGATCGTTATAGTATTCGTTCGTTAGGATTAACTGCCCAGGCCCCAAATACAACCACTTAACACTGAAAAATATAATATAAAATTGTAAAAATTGTAAAAAAGTGCATAAATATGCATCTAAACCCCTGAAATAAAGAGTATCATTAATATTTGTAATAAAAAAAACAATAAATTAGAAAAAAAAATTTAAATAATGTTCGTTGTAGGAGTTTCGTTCGTTATAGAATTCTCAATTTTATAGGTAAAACCGTTCGTTATAGGAATATTCGTAGTAGGATCCGTTCGTTATAGCATACCCCACTGTATATATATATATATATATATATATATATATATATATATATATATATATATATATATATATATATATATATATATATATAGATATAGATATATAGACATAGATATAGATATATATATATATATATATATATATATATATATATATATATATATATATATATATATATATATATATTCATATCTATATTCATATTCATATTCATATATATATATATATATATATATATATATATATATATATATATATATATATATTTATATATATATATATTTTTTTTTATATATATATTTATATATATATATTTATATATATATCTATATATATATTTTTATATATATATTTTTATATATATATTTATATCTATATATATATCTATATCTATATCTATATCTATATCTATCTATATCTATATCTATATCTATATCTATATATATATATATATATATATATATATATATATATATATATATATATATATATATATATATATATATATATATATATATATATAGTCATGCGCCGGTTAACGTCCTAGATACGTTCTTGGAAACGTGACGTTAACCAAAATGGACGTTGTCCGATCATCACATAAACTTTTTATTTATACTTACGTGTATGTGGAATACTATATACGTACATATACACTTTTACTCTTAAATCACTACTGTAATGTGATACAGGTGATTAATTTTTATCTCTTGTGCAAAATACATGACGTTTATATTAAAATTATTCACTGTTTTACAAGGATTCCAGCAACGCCGAGCAGATGGCGGAGAGAGAGGGTGGGAGCAAGCGAGGGGGCGTGAGGGGAGGGGAGGTAGTACGTTTGACAGTTGGCACAGGCCCAGGTCTAACGCGTGTATATTTATCAGTTCTTAGGTGACTAAGCTTCTCTCTTATAAAAAGCCAGTGAAATGACCTGGGTGAATATAATTAACATAGCTGGGATTCTTGTAACATACTGATTAATTTGAATATAAACATGCTATAATTTGCACTAGACAAAACAATTTTAGTACCGTAATCAAATTAGTACATGTGCACTCCAGCTTTGCACTAAGAAATCTATTTAAATGTACCCAAAAATACAGTTGAAAACTTTTTTATAAAAGTACTACAGTACTGTACAGTACACTAATGTACAACAATTTTTATCTCTTGAGCAAAATATATGACGTTTATATTCAAATTATTGGCTGTCTTGCAAGGATTCCAGCAATGCAAATTATAATCTCCTAACTTTAGTCTGAGATATTATGCAAGATAAAAACTGTAAGCCTAAAAGCCTGGCTGGGGGAGGGGGGACTGACGGCTCCGCCACCCAGCGAGGGGTTGGTGGGGGGGGGTGGGGGGTTGAGGTCTCTGTGTGTTTATTTAACAGTCCTACTAAGCTTCTCTCATTTTAAAATGCCAGTGATATGACCTAGGAAAATATAATTAACATAGCTGGGATTCTTGTAAGATACTGATTTATTTGAATTTAAACATGTTGTAATTCGCACTAGACATAACAATTTTAGTACTGTAATCAAATTAGTACATGTGCACTCCAGCTTTGCAATGAAGAAATTTATGTAAATCTACCCAAAAATACAGTTGAAAAACTTTTTATAAAATGTACTACAGTATTGTACACTAATGTACTACATTTTTTATATCTTGAGCAAAATATATGATGCTTATATTTAAATTAATATCTGTCTTGCAAGGATTTCAGCAATGCAAATTATATTATCCTAACTCTAGTCTGAGATATTACCGTATATCACGGCCTATAAGACGAAATTTGAACATTAAAAAAATCTGCCCAAAGTTAGGGGGTCGTCTAAACCACCAAGTTTAAAATTCTTACCTCTTAAATATTGTGGTTTAGTGTGTCAAGAGTGGTGATGAAAACATCGTAAGCCACTCACAAGGTCTTACCACTAATTATTTTATACTGAAACTTACGTTTGGCAAGCTGGATTCAAATTAAGATTACCGGTATATTAAAATAATAAAAATGTATTATAAACCTGTCTAACATACCGTAAAAGAGAATTATACCCCTGTAATAAACACAGCTATCATCACACACCCCTCCCCACGCCCCCCCCATTTGCCAGTGAGGAGACAAGAAAGGGAAAGTGACCGCGAGATTGGGCTATTTTTAGCCGTGGAGGTGGTCAGTAATAATACTTCTCCTATAAATAATTAATTTTAAATTTATTTTTTTACAAGGAATATTCAGTAAATGACTGCATTAATTCTTGAAACTACTGACAGTTAAATACAGACGCTTAAGTGACGTCACTAGTGTTTACACTACACCAGCTGGTAACATTTGATGCCATTACTTGAAGTGAATTGGCCTTATTTTAAGTAACTAACCATAAATAAATACAAAAAGTAAAAAAAAGATCAAATGTGAGAAATAATATACTGAATGTATGTTGTGTTGTCAAAGTTAGAGGAACAATTCAAACTGCAATTGTGTGTAAATGAGGCAGAAAGTCAGGTCAGCGCTGAACCTGGGACTTGGTCACAATTTTCGTGATGCCATATGGCAGCAGGGTCTACCATTAGACAACACATTATGCTTCCAATATCTTCCCAGGCGGTAGTATCTACCTGTTTGGTAGCTGCCTACTACCTACACAATTTTTAGTAATATTACTTTGATACATGATAAATTAGACAATGAAAATAAACATCAAATTTAATTACCAAGAGCTTCCCATTGGCAGCTGTAAGAAGAGGGGGAGATGGGCTATTTTTATCCCGTCTTTGTGTCTGAAGTGGCCAGTAATACCATATATTTACTGATCATAATACTTATCTCCTATAAATAATTAATTTAAAATTTATTTTTTACATAGAATATTCAGTAAATGACTTTTAAATAAATATACAAATAATTCGGTAAATCTATTTCAAGTAAATGGAAAATAAGCAAACAAATGTTATTTACCACCACCCTTCCCCCTGGCTCAGGGTGAGTTGGAGGGGAGATAAAGAAGGCTATTTATAGCCCGTCTTTGTGTCTGAAGTGACCAGTACCCTAATGCACCATAAATAATTCATTTAACATTTATTTTTTGTATATATATATATATATATATATATATATATATATATATATATATATATATATATATATATGTATGTATGTATGTATGTACAATCCAAAAGGGATGATGGATTAGTTGGAGGTGTATCCGTAAAGAAAAAGAAATATTTACTTTATACGTTATGTCAATGTTTGGCAACTATAGTTTCCGTCACGACAATATTCTCATTAGGCTGGGTCGGGGAGTGAAGCTCTGCTCACTACATTGAATATTATTTATCACTACGCGTCAAAGAGTACATTACAAATCATACTAGCATAAAAACACACAGAGTGAAGCTCTGTAATTATCGCAATATTAAATAACACTAACCACCGATTTCGAAGCATAACTCACGGGAAAAAACATATGGGGATTGGTGGTCACACTGGACGGTGCGAGGCAGGTGGAGGCCGGGCGGGTGAGGCGGAGCGGGTGAGG